TGTTTCTTCCCTGGACCACAGTCCAGCGTGCTCAGGTTGAAGCAACCCAGCTGCAACAGAGGCTTTTGGAGCAGGAGCTGGCCAACCTGGAGCAAATGATGGAGGATAAGAAGCGACATAATGAGGAAGGCATCCAGCGGCTGAAGGAGGAGTGGGAGGAAGAGATGAAGAAGATGAAAGAGGAGGCTGAAAGGAGAAAGAGGGATTTCCGCAAGGTAATGAGAGGAATGCATGGCACTGTATTTACATTTACATTGTCACTGTTGTTTTAATTTCATTTTTGTATTGTTCCCTTGTATTCATGGATGCATATTTGTACTTATCTTCACACTGATTTGAAGCCACTTTGTGTCCTTCCAAAAAGAGACTCCTGGGGGGCTGGAGGGACATTGCTGGAACAGCTCTTGGGTTGGGGCAATTGGCTAAAATGTTTTAAACAATTCCAATTTTGGTTTCTCTGTTTTGTTTTTGTTGGGTTGATGTTGGTTAAATGTTTTGTTGGGATTGGCGGTTATTTTAATTTGGGTATAACTGTAAACTGTTTATTATTGTTATTATTATTGATTTATTGGTTTGTTTGTTGCCCGTGTAGGATATTTTGTTTTTTAATATTTGATGCTTTGTTGTGTTTTTATATATGTTGTAAGCCACCCAGAGTGGCTGAGGAAACCCAGCAAGATGGGTGGGATATAAAATTTATAATAATAATAATAATCATCATCATCTCCAGCTAGGATAAAGTGTTTTCAGGGAGCCCCTCTCCAGCATGCTGGGAAATGCATGTTTATTTTGTAACCAAAGGCAACGTGGGCCTTGTGACCCAAGACAGGCCTGATTCCACCGTGAGTTTGTATCTGTTGCCCTCACTCATCTGTTTTCTCAGTTGAACAATGACTGTGTGCTCCTTGTCTCTCTAGGGGCTGCTAAGACAGAGGTTTTTGCTGATGGCCATGGAAACAGAAGTGGAGCTCCTAAGTCTCAAGGCATAAAGGAACAATACCTCAGGGCTTACGCTTACTACAGAAGCTGTCCACAGTGGAGTTTTGAGGACCAAATAAAGAGGCCTGGAAGTCAGGACATAACCGCAAGGCTGGACAACTGGAAACTTCAAACTAGTGCAGGTTATGGCAGCCTGCTTGTTGACTGGCACGAGGTGTTGAATACCACATTGCCTGTTTTGAGCCATCTGCACTACCATATTTCTGCAATCACTTTGAAGTGCTGATTATGACTTTTAAAAGGTGATCAGCCTGGTTTCCTCAAGGGATGTCTCCTCCTATATGAGCCTCCCTCATAGGAAGAACTTACAACAATGGCTTGGTTCAGCTTCTGTCTAATGAGGAAGTCATAAGAGGAACTGCTTTCCAAGAAATGGTTCTACTGTCACCACCTTCCTGCTGGCTAAATGAGAAAAGCAAAGCAATAATCCTGTTTATTTCAGCTGGCCTGTGCTGTTTTGTGTTTCTTTCTCTTATTGTCCAGATTCCATGGGGCATTGTGTTGTTGTTGTTGTATTTTAAATCTGTAAACCACTGTGATATAGTTTATGAAATATGTAAATTTCAAATAAAATAAATGTGCAGTCCTGAGTGTGTCTATTCTGAAGTCGTATTAATTTCAGCAGAGTTACTCTCAAGTGTGCATAGGACAGGCTGCATTCTTACACCATATATCATAACACTGAATTCATACCATGGTTGGCTAGGGGAGCATTCACACAATACATATATATATATCATTATGTGTTAGTTTACCTTGTTGAAAATGCAGATTTCTGTTTAAACATAGCTCTTCTCTTGATAGGAACACCTGGGAATTTCCTTTTAGTTTTTATCATGTTTATGTCCCCTCTTTTCATGTGTTGACAGATGGTTTAAATACATCGCTGTAGTACTTGTCATACTGCCACTAGTTGTCACTATAGTACTCCCCACACAGCTAACAGCGACTGCAGCAGCAATTTGTGAGGAAGGGGAAGGAGACATTTTTGGGGGAAGGAAACCCATCATTCTTTAAATCCCTGTGGTTCCAGTTTGATGGGACCAGACAAACTAGAACAACAGGCCCAGTTTACTGAGAACTTTTATTATTATTAATTGCATTTTCAAAAACAGGAATAGAGAGCATATTTAACCCCCTCCCTCTGTCCCACTTACAACTTGTACCAAACACAGCATGTATACTAATACCAAATGCCTTCCCTTCCATGCTTTTCCTGGTTTGTTTGCTTTTCTACTACTCTGCGTAATCCACATCTTTTTTAATTATCCAATTTGTTATCTATTAAAAACTCTTTATCTCTGCTGGATTTAGTTCACTGAGAACTTCTTGAGTGCAGCGGGCTAGCAAATGGAGAAACATTCGTGGCTGCTTTGATTACTAATGTGCACAAGAAATTTCACAACCTTAAACATGACAAAATTAAGAGCTAAGAAACAGAGAATTAGAGAGAGACTGGGTTGCTTTGGGTTTGTTTTTATTTTTCCCACATCTTCCAATTTGGGCAGTAGGATTATCCTGTTGGTTCTAATGGGCCTCCTGTTTCCTAGGAAGGCAGTTAGCAATCTGTGCAAACCAGTGAACATTTACCGTCTCCTAACAAGCTTGCTGGGACACGGGTGGCGCTGTGGGTTAAACCACAGACCCTAGGACTTGCTGATCAGAAGGTTGATGGTTCAAATCCCCGTGACGGGGTGGGCTCCCGTTGCTCAGTCCCTGCTCCTGCCAACCTAGCAGTTCAAAAACACGTCAAAGTGCAAGTAGATAAATAGGTACCGCTCCGGCAGGAAGGTAAACGGCGTTTCCGTGCACTGCTCTGGTTCGCCAGAAGCGGCTTAGTCATGCTGGCCACGTGACCCGGAAGCTGTACGCCAGCTCCCTCGGCCAATAAAGCGAGATGAGCACCGCAACCCCAGAGTCGGTCATGACTAGACCTAATGGTCAGGGGTCCCTTTACCTTTACCAAACTTAAAACCATGGAGATGCCTGGTCTGAATAGAGACATTGGATTCTTATCTCATTATACATCTCACCCCTTGCTTTTTCCTGTAAGACCAATTGCAGTCGTTAACAGTCGTCAACAGGTTTACAACACCTATCGGCCAATTAACCATTCCCACCACCCTTCTGAGTAATACCCCTCCCCACCCTCTCACTATATATAAGGGTCTGGTGACTTCTGTTTCAGTGTACTGTATCTGAAGAAGTGTGCATGCACACGAAAGCTCATACCAATAACAAACTTAGCCGGTCTCTACGGTGCTACTGTTGCCTTTGTCCATGGAGTTTGTCCATGCGAAAGGCTGGGCTGGATGAATCCCAAGCCGGAATTAAGATCGCCGGAAGAAAAATCAACAACCTCAGATATGCAGATGACACAACCTTGATGGCAGAAACTGAGGAGGAATTAAAGAACCTTTTAATGAGGGTGAAAGAGGAGAGCGCAAAATATGGTCTGAAGCTCAACATCAAAAAAACGAAGATCATGGCCACTGGGCCCATCACCTCCTGGCAAATAGAAGGGGAAGAAATGGAGGCAGTGAGAGATTTTACTTTCTTGGGCTCCATGATCACTGCAGATGGTGACAGCAGCCACGAAATTAAGACACCTGCTCCTTGGGAGAAAGGCTATGGCAAACCTAAACAGCATCTTAAAAAGCAGAGACATCACCCTGCCAACAAAGGTCTGTATAATTAAAGCCATGGTTTTCCCAGTAGTGATGTATGGAAGTGAGAGCTGGATCATAAAGAAGGCTGATCGCCGAAGAATTGATGCTTTTGAATTATGGTGCTGGAGGAGACTCTTGAGAGTCCCATGGACTGCAAGAAGATCAGATGCATCCATTCTTAAGGAAATTAGCCCTGAGTGCTTGCTGGAAGGACAGATCCTGAAGCTGAGGCTCCAGTACTTTGGCCACCTCATGAGAAGAGAAGACTCCCTGGAAAAGACCCTGATGTTGGGAAAGATGGAGGGCACAAGAAGAAGGGGACGACAGAGGACAAGATGGTTGGACAGTGTTCTTGAAGCGACAAACATGAGTTTGACCAAACTGCGAGAGGCAGTGGATGACAGGAGTGCCTGGCGTGCTCTGGTCCATGGGGTCACGAAGAGTCGGACACAACTGAATGACTAAACAACAACAAAGCCACTTCTGGCCTGCCCAGGAGGTGGGGTTGTGGGCTTCACGCCCACCCCCATGTGAGCGGGGGGTGGTTTCAGCCCCCGCGAGAACAGGGGAATCCCGGCCGCATGGCCTGCCCTATTTAGGGCCGGGGCAGAGGGGTCTTGCCCTCTTTTCGCCGGCTAGCCCTCACGTTTTGGTTAGGTTTGTATTTGGGGGGTTAGAAGTGGTTTTCTTCTTGCTTACCTTGTTCCTTTAGGTGACTCTTTTGCAGGTTTTGAACAGCGTTTGGACCTTTTTCCTGGGTGCCTTCTGCGACCGGGCTGACCATTGGTAAGAAGGGGTTAAGAGGATGTGTGTGTGTGGGGGGGGAGGAACGCCATCACCTCCCCCCCGCAAGCGAAGGGCCAAAGACACGCCCCGAGCGGTGACCCGTGGGAGCTCCTAGTCGACGTTCCTCAGTAGGAGACTCCCCCGATATAGTGTTAACCCTTCCCCGTGTCCAGTGGCGCAGCGTGGGGGGTGCAGGGGGGGCCGGCCGCACCGGGCGCAACATCTGGGGGTTAGGGTTAGGGGGCACAAATCCACAGGTTAGGGGGCGCAAATCCACGGGTTAGGGGGCGCAAATTACTTGCCTTGCCCCGGGCGCTGACAACCCATGCTACGCCACTGCCCGTGTCTCCAGCAAATGGGCTGGAGCCGGATAGTCGATAGGACCAATGCCTAAGCCAATACCTCTCATTCCTGAATTCAATAAAGTTGTGGCCTAATTCGCCCATTTAACCTTAAATTATGGTGTCTCGTGTCTTTATTTATCCTGGTGGGGGCGGGAACTCGCCACGCAACACGATGCTACTGGAAGAATTCCCACCCACCCCCATTGCTTAATTCCACCTGCCTTTCTGTTTGCTCGTTTCCCAGAATCGCGCTCCTTTCAGAGAAAGAGGTGCGGAGCCCGGGCACTTTCGCTTTCGGTCCTCGCATATTTTAAAGCGTCGCCAGGGCAATAAAGGAGGCTGATTAGTCGCGACGACCTCCCATTTCCTGAAAGGGCAGCTGGGGCGCTGCAAGAGCTTTCGAGCCACAAAAGCGTCTTGCAATTCCCGAGTTCTTGCTCTTACCCTGAAGGCGAGGCTTGAGCTTCTCCTGCCGTCCCCTCCTGCCGTCTCCACCGGGAACTCCGAGCAAGGCTCTCTCCCTCTTCCTGCCGGCCTGCCAGCTCGTCTGCAAGAGAGAACCCGCAACAATCGAGTCCGGTCAAGACCCATCCTCCCGAGGCCCGTCCCTGCAAAAAGAAAACAACACCAAAAAGTAAGAAACGGCAACTTCGTGATGTCGCTGTTGTTGTTAACCCCTAGCGCTCCTTTCTTTTTGCAAGGTAAACAAGGCGCGGGAATCTTAGCCAGGAGCAAAAGCAGCCGAGAAAGGAGTGTAGGAGCCAATTCGGAGGGGCCGAAGGGTCTTTGCCCCCGCCCAATAAAATATTTGAGCCCCCACCCCAAGTTGAAGGGCATTGTCATTCAAATAGGGTGTGTGCACCGTGTCATGTGATCGATTATGCGGGGTGGGGCTTACCTGGGCCTCCCCAATATTCAAGTTTTGACACACCTGCAAGGAAGGGAATCCTAGCAGCGGGGAGGTGGCTGGCAAGGAAAGGGTTAACCAAACATGCAAGTCCCGTGCCGCGCCCTCCCCGCCCCCCCGCACTGACCTTTGCAGTGGAGACTTTTGCTTTCGTGCCTGCAGCGTGCAGCTAGAACTTTTGCTTCAACTTTTGCCGATAGTATAAATAATACGTGGCTCTTGCAACAGAGGCACGGGAGGGGCGGGAATTAAAATGTTGGCACGCCAGAATGTATTCTTAAATGGGGAGGGGGGCAGTTCTGCCGGCTTCACATCAGTTCCGATAAAATGAAAGCCATAGGTGTGGTGCTGGGGGGGAATGGTGACAGCATGGACAAAGTCTATTTCCAGGTGTGCATGAAAGAAAAATGACAGCATCTAGGACAGATGTAGACTTGTCACAACTATCCTGAGAATGTCCAACTGGGTAACTTTCAGGTTCCAGAAGATATCTGGGATCCCAGTGAGGCGAAACTGAATCGTGATTTGTGCCCTTCCTGAACTCTTTTTCCAGTCAGGTTTCACTCATTCACAGGCTCACAGGCAGAGACAAACTTGAATTGAATTGGACTACAACTCCCACCATCCCTAGCTAGCAGGACCAGTGGTCAGGGATGATGGGAACTGTAGTCCAAAAACAGCTGGAGACCCAAGTTTGGGAAACACTGACTCACTAATAGGCAGAGACACACTTGAGTTTCCACTGTGTTGTGAGCTCCTCTGTTTTCCTTTTGCAGACCCATCATCTTTTGCACGATGGCCCCAGGGCAGGTCCACATGGAGGCTCCTGTTTGCCTAATTGAGAACATGCCGGACGGGAAGCTTGTGGTGAACCGGGAGGCTGCAGAGGTGCTTGCCAGGATCCGCCAGCCGGTGGTGGTGGTGGCCATTGCGGGGTTGTACCGCACTGGCAAGTCCTACCTCATGAACAGGCTTGCCGGCAAGAGAAAAGGTGACTGGCTTCATGAATATTCCCCGTTACTCAAGGGAAGGGCTGGAGTCTAGTAGCTTCACATGAGGAGCAAGGCAGATGTGTCTGGTGTGTCTGGAATGCGGTATCAGAGCCCCTGTGTTTTCTGCCTAGCCTGGGAAGAAGCATGGAGGAAGAGGAGTAAATTAATATTTATACAGAACCAGAGGGGAGATAGGACTTTGAGGCAGAGGTTTGGGGTCCCCACTCAGCAGAATTCACAGGAGGGTCCAGAAATACGGCAGGTTATTTTTTATTATATATATATACCCCAAGTTTCCTCCAAGGAGCTCCAGGTGGTATTCAGTTTCCCCCATATACATTTTATGCTCCCACAACCCTGTGAGATAAGTTCAACTGAGAGACAGCAACTAGGGTAGGCAACCTAAGGCCCGTGGGCCAGATGCGGCCCAATCGCCTTCTCAATCCAGCCCTCAGACAGTCCTGGAATCAGAATGAGTAGAATGTGTCCTTTTATTTAAAATGCATCTCTGGGTTATTTGTGGGACATAGGAATTTGTTCATTCCCCCCCCCCTTCAAAATATAGTCTGGCCCACCACATGGTCTGAGGGACGGTGGACCGGGCCACAGCTGAAAAAGGTTACTGACCCCTGAACTAGCCCAAGGTCTCCCCGTGTGGATTCCAACTCTGTTCTTCCACATCCTAGTCCCAAGTTCAATGTGCACGACACTTTACAGCACCCAAGCAAAATACAGTTCCCATGATTCTTGGGGGGGGGGGTGAGTGTGCTTTAAAGCTATGATGGGGATGTGACAAATGTTTCATTGAGTTCAGTGGGGTTTCCCAGTGACCTGCGCCTTAAGCCATGGCACCTGTTGTTTTCTCTCTCTGAATCATTGCCCGCTCTTTCCTCAGGTTTCTGTTTGGGTGCCACAGTGCAGGGGCTTACAAAGGGCATCTGGATGTGGTGCCTCCCTCACCCTCACAGGCCTGACCTCACACTGCTGTTGCTGGACACAGAAGGGTTGGGTGATGTGCAGAAGGTGAGCTGGGGGAGATGGCAGCTGGGATGACAGCGGAAGACTAGCCCTTTCGAAAGAGCCTTGTGGCAAAATATGCTGACCTGGTGTTAAGAATACCACAACACACACAGTAACTAGCTGTAAAGTAACATAACATTATACAATAACATTACAGTGGTACCTCAGGTTACATACGCTTCAGTTTACATAAGCTTCAGGTTACAGACTCCGCTAACCCAGAAATAGTGCTTCAGGTTAAGAACTTTGCTTCAGGATGAGAACAGAAATCGGGCTATGGCGGCAGCAGGAGGCCCCATTAGCTAAAGTGGTGCTTCAGGTTAAGAACAGTTTCAGGTTAAGTATGGACCTCCGGAACGAATTAAGTACTTAATCCGAGGTACTACTGTATATATAATTGTCATATCAAAAAATTGCAAAGCACAGTTCCTGGTGGCAATAACATATCCCCATCGTTCAGCCCGGACACTGAGATCCAGCACCGAGGGCCTTCTGGCGGTTCCCTCATTGCGAGAAGTAAGGTTACAGGGAACCAGGCAGAGGGCCTTCTCGGTAGTGGCGCCTGCCCTGTGGAACGCCCTCTCAGCAGATGTCAAAGCAATAAACAACTATTTTACTTTTAAAAGTCATCTGAAGGCAGCCCTCTTTAGGGAAGTTTTTAATGTTGAAGCTGTACTGTTTTTAATATTCAGTTGGAAGCGCCCAGAGTGGCTGGGGAAACCAGCCAGATGGGTGGGGTATAAATAATAAATTTATTATTATTATTATTATTATTATTATTATTTATTTATTTATTTATATCATATTACTATTAACCTTCTATATGTTTTATTGTCGTAACGTCCAAGGATAGTCAAGTCCAAAGATTGTCAAGTCCAACGATTACAACGTACGGTTCCTGTGGGCAACGACATTTCATACTGATATCTTCCTTCTGCATCATCCTATGTCTTAAGAGTGTAACAACAGAACTACTTAGTAAGAATAAGGCAGCTGATGAAAGACCAGTTCTCAGGATACAGCCTTGTTTCACCCATTGGGCTTCTTCAGCGACAAGGGTTCCAGGAGATTTTCCAGGAGGTTTTTTCAGCCGAAATAGTCCATAGGAATGCAGAAGTTGCCAGTCAGAGACAAGTGTGTGTTGTGGTATTCTGAACATGATTTACGTAATGAAGCAATTGTGGTGTGTGTTGACCTGGTGTTAATGGCAATGGTGTCTACCAGAGAGGTGGCAGAACTGAGTTCTGGCTGAACCCCCCCCCCCCAGTGGTAACTGATATTTATATTTCTGTTTCAGGGAAACACACAGAATGACTCGTGGATCTTTGCCCTGGCCATTCTTCTCAGCAGCACCCTGGTGTACAACAGCATAGGCACCATTGACCAAAATGCGCTGGAGAACCTGCAGTATCCTTTTGGGGCATCAGAAATCCCAGCTGGACTTGTGTGCTTGGCCTGGAGGATCTAGGAGGAGGCAGTTGAAGGTTGTCCCCCCTAGGAGTTTCACTCCATGGGAGAAGCAGGTGGGATGAACTCTCCTGTTCTGAGACTCCATGATGCTTAGAGTGGTCTGCATGATGCTGAGGAACTATGGGGTGGTGCAGGAGGAAACACAGAGGGGATGCAGCCGATAGAAGAGGCAGGCAATCTCCCAGGATCGGAAGGTGGGTGAGGAGCTCATTGGGACACGCTGTGAGGGGGGTGGATCAGTGATTTACAGCTGCAAATTGGGAACCTCCACAGATATGTTTTACAGATAGATAAGGGGGTGGGGGTGCAGGCAGGAACTCCAGAAGGCATAAAATTAGGAATTGGCCTTAAGGTGTGAAAATGAGAGATGTCAGCCCCTTGCCACAAAACCCTGCCTAAATTACAATTGCAATACAGTCGTACCTTGGTTGCTGAATGCCTTGGAACTCGTGCATTTCTGTTCCCGAGCGATCGAAAACTGGAAGTGAGTGTTCCGGTTTTTTAATGATTTTCGGAAGCCGAATGTCTGGCACGGCTTCCGATTGGCTGCCAGAGCTTCCTGCAGCCAATCAGAAGCTGCACTTTGGTTTCCGACCGTTTTGGAAGTTGAACAGCCCTCCAGAACAGATTCCGTTCCACTTCCAAGGTATGACTATATGTGGTCTTCCTGCAGTATAAATCTCTCTGCTCAAAAGCTGTATCATCATTTCCGGCCAGCCCACAACTGCAGGTTCAAACAGGCCCCAAACCAGCCCTGGAATTGTTTTCCTTAGCACTCCCCAGCTACGTCACTGAGCTGACAAAAAGGATTAAAGCCAAAGCTTCCTCCGGGGAAGATGAAGAGGAGGAGAACTCTGCCGAATTTGTCCGTTTCTTCCCAGACTTCATCTGGGCAGTGCGGGATTTCACACTACAGCTGGAGATAGATGGATACCCTGTAACTGAGGATGGGTACCTGGAGAATGCCTTGAGACTGCAGAAAGGTACAGTAACTGCAAGAAAGAAAATGCAGTGTCTGAGATGGGGAGAGGACACTGCTAGTTGAGAGGTGCACAACTGATCTAAGTCAAAAAGGCCTAATATTCAAGTGGGTGAATGTATCCAGTCACATAGCCACTGAGGGGTAAAGAGGTTGAACTGATTTCCCCTGTGCTACATGGAGCAGGACAGAGATATATCCCACCGAGTCCTGAGGCACATGTCTCAGGCTGCAGACTGCATTAGTAATAACTCTTCAAGCTAATCCTCAGTTGTGTTCCCAGGGAGGTTTACAAACACCCTACAACAATTACAATGCCAATACCCAAACTGTAAAAGCTAAAAGCCACAAAATTGTGAAAAACCTCATACCACCAGGTTAGTTGCTTGTACAGTTGGACTGGGCTCCCTGAAACTCCTATGACATAGGAGTCTTACCTGCTAATCTCAAATATACACATGCGAGCTGCAAGTGCGCTATGAAGAGGGAAATACATATACAGTGGTACCTCAGGTTACAGACGCTTCAGGTTATAGACTCCACTAACCCAGAAATAGTACCTCAGGTTAAGAACTTTGGTTCAGGATGAGAACAGAAATCGTGTTCTGGTGGCAGCGGGGAGGCCCCATTAGCTAAATTGGTGCTTCAGGTTAAGAACAGTTTCAGGCTAAGAATGGACCTCCGGAATGAATTAAGTACTTAACCCGAGGTACCACTGTACTCAGAGTAAGGCCATAACATTGCAGTGCTGAAACAGAGAGCAATATCCTAACTCTGTTTACAGCAAGCCTTGGGACCTCAGGTGCCAGTCGAGTTGGCATGGAGAATTGAATGTTTACAGGGAACCAGGTGAGTTTGCTCCACCAGGGAGATGGTTGGCACATTTTGTGTGGAATTTGGCGATAGTAACTGATTGCCTTGTGTACTCACACTTCTTCTCCCCCAGGTAATAGTGAACAAATCCAGAGGTGCAACATGCCCAGGTCGTGTATCCGCAGATTCTTTCCTTCGCGGAAATGTTTCACGTTTGACCGTCCAGCTAGCAGGAAAAAGTTGTCTCGGCTGGAGGAACTGGAAGAAGATGATTTGGAGGAAGATTTCTTGGAGCCGGTGGGCCGTTTCTGCCAACACATCTGGGAGACATCGCGACCCAAGACAGTCCCGGGAGGCCAAGTTGTGACAGGGAGAAGTAGGGAACATTTTTGAAAGATTGTAGGCTGGGGTTGGTGGGTAGGGAACCATTCTGATTAGAGTAATTAGTTTTACCCAGTCCCGTTCTAATAATACTAATAACTGGTCTCAGTCTGGGAACCCCATGGATGGGGGGCTTTTTCCTCCAGAGCAGTTTGGGGGTGTAGGAAGCTGTCAGCTTGAGGTGAATGGTGTTACTCAGCTACCAGCCAAGAAGGGATCAGGTGACATCAGAAACCAATAGTGACCCACCTGACTGTAGAAAATGCTTTAGTTTGTCCTTGCTCTGCAGTTTGACGATTTCTTTGTTCACGTCCAGGCTGAATTGCATGTAAGCTGCTCACTTGATTGCCTGCTGAACATCATTTAGCTAGAATTTATTTTGAAAACTATATACACAGAATAAAATACAGTAACGATTCTGTGATGAAACACAAATTATACTTTCAGAGAAATTTGGTTGTGTCATTTGTGCAGAAAGCAACATTGTATGCATTGTTTTAAACTCTTACATCATTTATTATGCTTCTGCAGCAAGCAAGGACTTGAACCCATGACATTTGGCTACTAAAAAGCCTGTTCACCTGTTCACCCCTCCCCCTTTTATTTATTGAGAGTTAATTGACCAAACACTTCCATGCCTATTTCTGCAGAGTTAATAATAATAATATCTTTATTGTCATTGCCCCCTCTCGGGGACAACGAAATTACTTAATTCCCCATGGTGCTGCTAATATAGGGGCTTTGTTCTTTGTTTTGTTGATGTTTTATTTCAATAAAATATTGGTTCTAAGCTGGGTTCTGAGCCCAGTTGTTCTGTTTCATACTTATCACAGTGTGGCCCCAGGACTGCAAGATACACACTGTGCTGACGATGAGTTATGGATTGGGCTGCTTCCAGTTTTGGCAAGAACCAGAAGTACGGAAGGCAGTAATACATATGTAGCATAGAGAGGTAATAATAATTAGGAATGAGATGTGGGTGCAGGGCAGAGAATAGTAATCTCTGCTTTTTAAGCATTCCCAAGTTCTTCCTTCATATTTCAGGTTATTTTCTACAGGCATGAGAGCTGGAATATTCCTTTTAAAAACATGTCTTCTCTGCCTCTTGTTTGTGCAGAATATCTATTTCTTTTATGAGAAATCTGCAGGTACAGTGGATGACGTGTCCCCAGTTATAGTACAAACGTTTGAAAGATGTTTGACTCGGGATACATTTCCTTGGCGTACAAAAGTTAAGTGGGATGGGCATCCCTGTTCTGCCATTTCTGTTTTGGTGATTTTGCCCAATTCTTCCCTTTCAGTGCTTCTGAACCTGGTGAAGACCTACGTCAATGCTATCAACAGCGGGGATTTGCCCTGCTTGGAGAATGCCGTGCTGGCCCTGGCAGAGATTGAGAACGCAGCAGCCGTGTGTGATGCCATTTCCTGTTACGAAGAGCGGATGCGGCAGCGGTTGAACCTGCCCACGGGCTCCGTCAATGAGCTGCTGGCGGTACACGCCGAGTGTGAGAGGGAAGCCACTGGCATCTTCATGTCCCGTGCCTTCGGCGATGAGTTGGTAAAAAAATCACAAGAGAAGCTTGAGGTAAATCTGTTCTCTTTTTTTAAAAAAACAACACCTCTACTGGTCTGACTCTGTACGAGGGAGCTTCTTGTCTTCCTACATAAATGTTAATTGGCTGAAGGAAACATTTAGAAGAAAACAAGATCAGGGAAAAAAAATAAAACTTAGCAGAATAAACGCTTACCTAGCATAGCTCTGAGCATCACAGTTAGGAGGGTCCTCCAAAACTCGCACGGTTTTCTAAAAATCTCTCTCTTCAGAATGGAGACAGCCTCTTGTTATCCGAAGGCAAAAAGGAACATAGAAAGGTGGCATAAAGCAGGCTGGTGTAAGCTAAGCTGGTGTAAAGTTATACACCAAACTCCATTCAGCCATTGAGCTACTGCTTGCATAGCAATCCTAAGCCTGGCAGAGGGAGAACAAACCTTTAAAATAAGTGTTTGAACTGCACCATCCCCTTGGCCGTCTGAGTTTTCATTGGGTTTCCAGGTCACATGACTGAGCAGAATAGGCTTAGGACCCCCCTCCCGGTCCTGCCCCCACCATGCCCCTTAAATGCCCCCCTTTCAGGCTTTAGGCCAGCTCAAGATGTGAGTCATGGCTGAATCGGTATTGGGGGGATACTCTGGTGTATCCCCGACTGAACCGAGAATGAGGGAGCTAAGCCAGCATAGCCTGCTTGTGTGGGGAACTTCCTGGCTCAGCCAGAGATCCGCTGGATCCTAGCCCGTTCATCGTGGAGCATCTTGCTGTAGGATTGCTCGCTTAGTTATCTGTGAAAGACACATTCTCTAGATGAAATGGAAGACAAACACATATCCTAGAAGACTGGTAGGATTGCAATTTGATTGGGTACGCACTTAGTTTTTAACTTTAGGAAAGGTGGAGCCAGACAATTTAAACTGGCCTACATTTTAGAAATGCAGCCGTTCTAGATCATTGGTGTCGTAGCCAGTTCCCACGATTTTTGGTGGGAGTGGGGACAGTTAAGTCAATTGAAACTGCAGTTTTGATGTGGCCTTGTTAGTAAGTCTTTCCACTGAAGAGGAAAAGCTTTTTCATCATTATTAACAGATCATCTTTCTGCCAATTTTCTGTCTCTCGTAGCAAGAGCTGAAGCAGAAAAAGGAAGAGTTCTGCAGGAAGAATGAGCAGGCGTCTTTTGACCGCTGCTTTGCCGTGCTGACAGATCTTTCCCAGGAGCTAGAAGTTGAGCTCCGGATGGGAATTTACTCCGTGCCTGGTGGCTACCAGCGTTATCTGGAGAAACGGGACGAAATAGAGAAGAAATACCACTTGGTACCTGAGAAAGGAATTCAGGTAGGGCAGGAAGCCAGCATTTCTGTGATATCCAAAGAATGAGCATTCTTATACTGACTGAGGACAGATCCAAACTTTAGACCTGGGGTGCAATACTGTGAATATTTTCTTGGGAGTAAGCCCCACTGAATTCAATAGGGCTTGATTCAAAGTGAATTAGTTTGTTCATCTACTTACCAAAATGAATAAACTCTGTTCAATGAAAAATATATTAAAGTGGTTTACATAAAATAGTTTAAAGACCTTGACTTGTAGCTATGCTGAGAGGGAAATAGGGACCATTATTATCAATTTCTCAGCGCCTCATTAAGATACAATTATTAATTTACTATATCATACACGCAATATTTCTCCTTAA